GTTGAGCATTTCTGCTACTCCTGTTAGTCGTTGTTTTCCATACATCCCCCATCCGTCGCATAGTGATATGCGACGATTAGGGGTTCAGGGACTCATCTTTATCTTCTTGGTGAACCTCCGATCCCGCACGATGCCGTCGGCGATTGTTGTATCCCCTTTTTCAGAGCCGTCTATTGCGTAGGCTCACATTGCTGGCATCTCCTCCTGAGTTGGGCCTTCTCTTCTTAGAACTCGCTGTCAAGTGCTATCTTGTGAGTGTGGTTCTCGCTTCTGCAGCCGATGGCAAGTCCGCCGCTTTGCTCTGTCGGCTACATCTTGTGAGTGTGGTTCTCGCTTCCGGCGCTATCCTTGTGTGTCTCCGTGAGTTTTTGAACTCCTCCTTTTCTGCTGTCGTCTTGTGAGTGTGGTTCTCGCTTCAGGCGCCATCTGTGCTCCAGCAGAGCCTTGGCTCTCACATCCGGCGCCCTCTTGTGAGTGTGGTTCTCGCTTCCGACTTCATCATGGGAGTGGTGTGCTCCATCTATTGCCAGCCTTGTGAGTCCTCGCCTCGGGCTCCTACTTATGGTTTTCCTATCGCTTCCAGCTCGCACAGTGGTCGGGGTTTTTTACCGCTTCGGAGGCTGATGACATAGCCCGGGTCTTCTTTTTGAGTGGTACCCGCTCCACCTCAGGCACAGGCTCGACCATACCAGGCGAAAAAACGAACCTCGAAAATTCGTCTGGTGGGGATCGAACCCACGCCCTACGGCGTACCTTGTATCAGCAGGCAAGAACTATACCCACTGAGCCAAGGAGGCCGATGAGCCAAGGAGGCCGATGTGTGTGTGTGTGTGTGTGTGTGTGTGTGTGTGTGTGTTTGCTCGCTTACTCGTGGTTGACTCATTGATTGCAGCAGAGACTCGTCCACAAGTCCTGATGCAAGGTACGAGTTGGATCTTCGTCGGGATACGGGCAACGGGTTTATTCGCCAGGTATGGGCCGCCTTTTCAATGGTTTGTTATACTGTGTACGGCACTTACTGGCTAATAATTATATCTATACACGACGGTACATGGACTCTAAGTGCCGTGACTCGCATCGATTGTCGGTCCACAATCATCCGCGTGCTCGCTGCTTTTGTCTGCTCGTCGTGCCTATTGCACGGTGGGCCTCGCGTTGAGATTTTTGTTGACTTTCGAGCTTGCGGTTTAACGCCGAGAGTGTAATCTCCCGTTACTTAATAGAAGTTAATAGAAGTGTGTCTTCATTCACTTTCATTGAATGTACATTTTTAATAAATTGGACTTTGGCACTGCCTTTATTGCCGTTCAATATTCACAACATTTACCCAGAAGGAGTAACGATTTTATAATGTCAAATAATAAATAAATAATACCAATAAACTTCGATGGTTTTCAGAACATTTTTATCTGATTTAGAGGTTGATGGCATATCGTAATATGGGTGATCTTTCTTGATTATCATTTGAGTCTTGTGTAATTAAGTTTAATAAAGAGAAATTGATTAGGTTAAAGAAATTCTTTCATTTTATTTGGAGTTATTTTTCATTTTATTATACAGAGATCTTAACAGAAAAAAAACTTACAACAAGAACGTCATTTTGTAATAAGTGTTTTTGAAAACTCATAAGAATAAATATTTTTTGTACGATAAATGGTGGTAGTTGTATAGGTAAATTTTTTTAATTTTCGTTTGTTTAATTGATAAATTATGTAATAAAAATTTTCATCAATAACATATCAAAGTAAAGTAGGATAGTAAAAAAAGGTTCATATTTTCTATTTCCTTTTCCTTTCTTTTTGTAGCTTGACCATTAATTCTTCTCTTCATTTTTGATTTTTCTAAACTTTCGAAACCATGATTCTACTTCTACAGCTATATTTTCAAATGGTTGCAGCATCTTGAACATTCTAAAAAATTAATTTTATTTAAAATATTTCAAGTTCACAACGAATTCGTAACATTTATGATTAATTTATTGTGAAATAATACTTTTCCCGTCTTGTCTTTGAAAGCATTTTTGTGTCTTCTACTTGATTTTTGAACCCGATTCGGACATAAGAGTTTACGAAATGCTCTGTAAAACAAATTTATTATTAGAAATTATTGATATGAGTAGTTCTCTGTAGCAGGGATTCTTTATTTCTTAGAAGAAAAAATCTACTTTTATGAAATAACTATATTTATATGGGTCAAAATGATACTTTTTTACAAAATCGTGCTCACACATGCGGCACATTTGCACGCGCTTTTGTATTTTATAGAACCGCTTGAAAAGTCCCGAAACGACAATTTAAGACCCCTCTCGCAGCCTCTACAATTTATATGGACGTTTGTTTTCTATCTATATTGATTCTGAAGCCGTTTTGACTTAAAAAAACTGGAAAAATTCATGGAAGTACACCAGCGAGCTTAGATACTCGGACTTCGAAAATATGCCAATCGATTAAGGTGGTTCTTTCAGTTTAAGTTTTTCTACAGTGAACTCTTGATTAGAGCTGTATATTTTGTATGCGCAGTAAGCACTGCGCAGCCTGACAGCAGCTGATTCACAGCAAAAACATCGTTTTTTTCACTTTGACGTGAAAAATCTTGATTTTTTGCAGCGTAAGCCCTGTTTTACGATACACAGGCTGAAAGATGAGAGTTTTTTCTATAAAACCTATACACTCCGATACCCGAACAAATTAAGTTTTGATTAGAAATACCATATGAATGGTGGCCGTTCTATGCTTCCCATGTTAAAATAGCATAGTTTGAGATAAAATATCTCGAGATTTTGCAGCGTAAGCCCCATAAATAATTATACCATTGAATTCAGCGTGATTTAATCTATAAAATAGGGTAGGTCTCATGTCTCAACAAATATTGAAAGAACCACCTTAATCCCTCCCTTCACTGTGCAATGCAGGTCGTGAAACCGTAGTCACGTGCTGTTGTTTTAAAAACGTGAAGGAAGCGACTAATCGATCACAAATTTTCGAGGTCCGAGTATCTAAGCTCACTGATGTACATTGTAACAACACAAATCACCTTGAATTTTTGCAACTTTTTTTAATACTTCAAGGCTTCAAAAAAAATCATTGAAAATTGAAATAATTTCATTTTTGGTGAAATGTTTCGAAATGACGGACCAAAACCTTTTTATTCTAATTTTTACACCAAATAACAATTCCTTTCCTTCTTCAAAGGGCCTAGCCGGCTAAGATGGTCAAAATTGCCCCCAACCAAATTGAAATAAAAAAAATACCTACATGTAGTACATGTAAAAATATACCTTTGGGTAAATTGGTAGGGTCCTAGGGCCTAGCACAACCTCAAATAAAATACAAACGTAATTTTCAGTTTCTTTAATATATATCACGCTACCTGAAGTGTTGAGGGGTGAATTTTTTCTTTATTTGAGGTTATGTTAGGCCCTAGGACCCTACCAATTTACCCAAAGGTATATTTCTACATGTACTACATGTAAGTATTTTTTTTATTTCAATTTGGTTGGGGGCAATTTTGACCATCTTGCCCGGCTAGACCATTTCTTTAGACAGGTCTGCATCCAAAATAAACCGGTTTTTTAAAACGAAGATAATTTTTTTAGAAAGATACGAAGCCTAACGGCGATGCTAAAGCATTATTTATTACCGACAGAGAACCAAAAATTGAAATTATTCTTCCTTTTTTTTCTGAATTCCGAAAAACAGCTCTGTGGTGCCCTCCGTTTTATTGCTTTGAGCAACTAATATAAATATAACAGTTTTCACGAGTTTTTTTCTAGAAAGTTGAAATCAAAATTCTCTATTCAATGACAAATGTAAAAATTTGTATCCCTTTTTCCTAGAAAACCACTCTTGAAAAATGTTTAAATTTGCACCAGTTCTTCAAAGCAATAAAACAGAGGGCACCGTAGAGCTGTTTTTCGGAATTCAGAATAGAAAAAAGGATAGAATATATAGATCATCACGCTCGAGGTTGCGCTTGTGACCACTGATGTTCTGAAGAAGTATACACTGTTTAAAACGATTCTTTTCCCAACAGGAAACGTAAACAAAGCCTAATGAGGGCCACCTTCATGTGTAACATATGCGTCAATAATAATAATAGTATATAGGCCGCTAGCATAGGCAGAGCCCCTAATTAGCTCTGTTTACTTTTTTTGACGGAAAACGAATCGTTTTACCCCAGTTGAAAAAAATTGCGTGGATATCCACGTGGATTATCCACGCTGATTCCACGTGGATCATACAGGGATTCCTTGAGGATGGGACATTGATTCCACGTGGATCGAACATGGATCATATAAAGAGTCCACGTACGTAAACGACGGGGATTTGCACGGAAATCCTCGTTGATTTTCGATCGATCCACGGGGATTTTCGCGGAAATCCTCGTTGATTTTCGATCGATCCACGGGGATTTTCGCGCAAATCCCCATTGATTTTCGATCAATCTACGGGGATTTTCGCGCAAATCCTCATTGATTTTCGATCAATCCACGGGGATTCTCGATCGATCCACGGGGATTTTCGCCGCAAATCCTCGCGGATGTTTCGAGCGCGTGCTCGCGAACAAGTTCCACATCCACGAGGATTGAAAAAAAATCAGCGTGGATCAGTAGAATATCCGTGGTGATTGCATTTTTTTCAGCCCATGATCGATCCACGAGGAATCCCTGTATGATCCACGTGGAATCCCTGTACGATCCACATGGAATCCCTGTATGGTCCACGAGGATTACTAATCCTCGTGGATTTTCACGTGGATATCCATGCAATTTTTTTCAACTGGGACACATAGTGTCCACTACCCTGTTGCTGTAACTCAATCGGTACGCTTTAAAAGTTTTGATAGACGATCAAGAACACGCCTCGCCAGAAAACCTAGAAGAAGAAAAAATCTAATACACAAAGTATGCGAAAAAGATTCACGGAAGAGATGGAAATACTTTCCAAAAATTAAATTTAATAATATTAAGTTAACTGTCTGACTAACTGGAGAGAAAGAAGAAAGAAAGAAGAAAGAATTTGTGAGGTAGGTTTCAGTACATACCGAACAATCCTATTTTTGAAAAGACTTTATCGATGCATTTTTTATAATCACGCAAAATATTATTTCGACATCCTAGCATAGGGATCCCATGTTAAAGTACCGAACTTTGGTTAATTATATTTCAGAAATGGTTCGGTTAAAGTTCCTGAAACTTCTCACACAAATGAAAAGCATTGTCAATAATATGTGGTCAAAAATTCAAGACTCTTTATCGATAATCATTTTTTATTAGGAAACTACCTTAATATGGAGCCTTTGGGCGCATATTATGAACTTGGGGTATTGTTTTTGTAGGTTTTCGGAAGCTTATATAACATGAAATTTAAAAATAGGTATTTCTTTGCTACTTTTAGGATTTAGAGGCCAAAAAGTCACGTTTTCACTTAAACGCAATTATTCATTCAATTTCTAACTCGGTGTAAAAGTATAAACAAATCTTTAAAAAATAACTAACTGATGGATTTGATAGGAAACTTCATCATCTTTCCGATAGTGGTATTAGATTTTCCGATATTAGATATTAGCTTGTCCGAATAATAATATACAAATTCCACCAAGAAAATCGTCATCAAACATTCAGAGCTGAATATTTCGGAAATTAATTATCGGAAAATCTGACTGCACCAGGAGAAAGTTGAGAAAATTTCTTATCACAACCATGTATTAATTGATTTTTTCAATCTGGGGGACTCCAACCGTGACGTCGTAGGTCTCTGCACCATCATTCGTAAAGAACTCTAGAACTTTGTCGCAAAAATAGCTGCCAATGATCCAGCGATGGTATGCTAGAACTCCAATTTCCTCCAGGGCTCCAAGGATATGATTTCAGCGCGACGAGTTAAATTAATTTCTTACATCATACAAGGTGGTATCAATTATGACACTAGTGGCCGATTTTGCGGTGCTGAGTACCTTTTGTGTGGCGTCGATAGTTGACCATCCATATAGATCTATACCAAACTGTGACTCATCTGGTTCTGGAGCTGCCCGATTTTGCGCCCTTCGGCACGCTTCACGAAGCTCCTCGATTTTAACTTCAGTAATAATCAGTCCAACTTCCTTTTGCTGAGGAAGAATGTGTAACTCTGTAACTCTTAAAGAGAATGTAGAGACCGATCGTCGCATCAGACCCGGCTAGACAGAAGACACGCCCCAGGGAGTCTTTAGGCAGGACATAACCATTTGGTGTGATTTATCCCTCACGTCGTGGTCTGCCTCATTATATAGTCTCTTCAGCAGAAGTGCTTGCTGTCCTTTTTTGCACTGCACAACGCCTGCGATCTTGGACGAACTCTTCATGTCAGATGGCTTCGTCAACGCAGATACACGCTTTATACTTACGCAGCCTTTTGCGATGTACTCGTTCCACCAGTACACCGGCTCATGGTGCTAGCGGCCGACTCACCATAACATGAAGGCGACGTTGACATCATATCGCTCCATCTAATAATCCATCCAAAGTTAAGAGTTTAAGTTGAAAATGAACTTTCAATTTTTATAATCACAAAAAAGAGCACAATCATCTAAAAAAGCTGTTGAACTCCCGGACATAAGGCAAGGAAGCTCCAGGGCAGAAGAATTTGGATTTCTGTAAATAATTCACTTGGCTTGGATATAAAATGAAGACGAAGCTATCTCAAACGTGCACGCTGCAGCCACGTGGTTACGATATGAGCAGATCAAAACCTACTCAGTTGATAGTTCCCCCACTCTTGGTGTTGTTGGTTCGCTGTAGACATTGACGAATCGAAAGTTCGAGACCACTTATATTCAGGAACTGACACAACCCATATGAACTCTAGCGGTTTACAATAATTTATATGTAATTTTATTATATAGTTTTTCAACTCTTTTATTTTACTTTTATTTTTACGCGTAACGTAACTGAACCAAATAGAGGTTCATCGGGTATCAAACGTTGTGCCCTTCAGAGTGTCACAATTTCTTATCAGATAATGGTATAATGCACGATCTTCTGGACCAAGTTTGATTTGAATTGTGCCTCGGCTAACAATTTAACTGTGTCTATGAGTCGTTCGATAAAAACCATCTTACCAAAGACTTCATCTGGATCTGCATCATTAACCATTGTAATTGCTGCACTTAACTTTGATAAAGTAAGACTAATAAGCTTATACACTTTTTGCTTTTGGAAAAGTCAGATACTATTAGGCGTTCGTGTTACTTATTCTTTATGCGTCTTTCTTAGACGTCTTCTTCGGTAGTCTTATTTCAATTGCTTTATTCAATATTGACGCTTCAAGCCTTTCCACTACTGGATAAAGCTTTCCAGCTTTCTATTAATTTTTAATATACTGACAATCTTTAATTTCTGGAAGCTTTAGGATCACTCAGTACCTTTGGAACGCTCAGAATTTCCTTTTTTTTCTTAGATTTCGGTGGAGTAGGTGGTACAAAAGTATGAAAACCTCTGAATATCATACAGCAAGCGTAATAAAAAAATCAAAAACCCCTTATCCGATGAATTTTTTACAATGATGAATTTGACCTTGAACATAAGCTTAAAGCTACAGTTAACCAAAAATCAATTTTTCATATTAGTACCCCCATTTTTATTGCAGAGAGCGAAAAATTCTACGTTTGAACATGCCTTTTGTTTCTGTTTTTCAAGACAATTTCAAGGGCACCAAGGAATAAATAAAACCCTAATTTTATACCTAAGTTCACTATTATGACCCTTTTCCCGAGTCATAACTCGCAGTTTACCGGTACCGCTAACCTCACTCTATGGTACCAGAAACTGCAACTTAAGACTCGGAAAAGGGGACATAAATGTGGACTTCGCGCTTTGCTATAAAATGGAGTATGATACTCCTTCCATGACCCACACTGCGCTCGGGCACTAAATTACGCCGTACCAAAAAGTGCTACTCATAATACTTGTATCATAAAATACTAAAATACTTTAATGAAAGTGTTTCCATCAATATAGACATTATTTTCTAGGAACTTTTTTGAAACTCTCATGCTGCGGGGGTTATTGATAATGTAAACTGTTATATTAATTACTATTTGCTACAATTAAAGTTTTTTATGTAAAGAGAATTATTTACCTTTTGAAGTCTTTACTCCAACAGGCGTATATTATTGGATTCATTCCACTGTTCATCCATCCTAACCAAGATACAGCTGTAAAAATAATTTCTTCTTTCCAGATGCATCGAGTGCAAAACCCTGATATAAGATTTACAATGAAGAACGGTAACCAACAAATTATAAATACTCCCATTACAATGCCTAAAGTTTTTGCAGCTTTTTTTTCTTTTGAAAATTTAGCCAATTTTCTTGATATTGAAAAATTTTTATTGTATGCAAGTGTATTGTTTTTATTGAAATAATCAAAATCAAATAACTTCTCGACTGTTGTAGTAGAAGATTTTTCAAAAGTATTTTGTAACTGGAGTGAATTTTTTTTTTCAGGTAAAGACATATCTGGATAGAGATGATTGCGGGGTTTTGGTGTAAAATCTTTTCCACGATGCATTCTTAGGGTCAGCTGCAATTGACTTGAAGCTATTATAACTTGTTTTGCTCCGATTCTCAAACTTCGTGTCTGTACTTCGGCTTCTCGGTATATTTTATAGTAAGTAAAAACCATCACAAATAGTGGAAAATAAAAACTTACTATAGATGAAAACACTATATATTCCAAATTTACTGTAAATGGGCATTTATTTTTTAGAATAGTATCTGTTCGGTCGATGCGCCACCATAAAATGGCTGGAAAAGATATTAAACTAGAAGCCAACCATATTATTGTAATTAATATAACTGCATATTTGCGAGTCATTCGCATAGGATAACTCAAAGGATCTTTTATTGCCCAATAGCGATCTAAGCTTATAACACATAAATTTAAAATTGAAGCTGTTGAAAATAAAACATCCAAAGAATGCCAGACATCACACCAATCTAGTTCAAATAGCCAACGTTTTTCTAATACCTCGTAGATGGCACTAAAAGGCATGACAACGATGCCAACTAGAAGATCAGCAAGAGCCAAAGAAGTAACGAAATAATTGGTTGCTGTGTGCAAATATCGTTCTCTTATGACTGCTATAATAACTAGAGCATTACCTATTGTAGTAAATATTGAGAAAGAAAATAAAAAAATTCCTAACAAGATCTGTTCACTTGTTAGATTCCACCAAATCATAATATAAATAACACTTTTTGAGCTTTAAAGCTCTCTGAATCATGTCATAATGAATATTCCACTTGTAAATGATCTTGATAAATGAAATCCTGCGTTTTTATTTTTCAACCTGGTAAAAAACAAATTTTGTTTAAACAAAATTATTGTATAAATTTAAAATTTAATATCAATGCGATAATTTTCTCACGGGATAAAAGTGCTGATTATGGTTTTTAGGAGTTGAAAAGTTCATGGATTACATTAAATAAACCAATGATTATCGATTTTCCTTTTTACATCTTTAATGAGCATACAAAGGATGAGAACATTGACTATACTACTTAAAGGGTAAACACCATTTTACACTGACAAATAATATGTACTGCTTCACGCAGAATTCTCTGCCTTGTTTATATGATATATAATGTCTAGCACAAGGCAACAGACTAACTGTGACTAGATATTTTCGATGTACTTCCAACACATACTAAAAAAACTTGAAGCTCTTGACTTTTGCATGACTAAAATTTGAATTTCATTTTGTAAATTAGATAATATTGAGTCAGTAATCAATAGATATGAGAAGATCAATTTATTGTAGCTTAGTTTAAAAAAGGACATCCATTTTCAATAAGCATCTGTTTCACCAAGTTGGAAAAGAGCTGGTAGCGAGTGGCTTCAAATTTTAATTCTTAATTTTGATTTATGAATTAAACTTCATTTAAATCACATTTCATAATTTCCAGGTTTTGACTCCTCTGATTGTGAACGTATCCCAAAGTAGATTTGTTGAGGGATTCATAATTCTTTTAGGCTGTTAAAGCTCCCAGTGGATTGTGCAGTCGGCTTCGTAACGGACTTTTCCAGGTAGTTTTGGCTTGTATGCACTTTTAAAGCCTCAAGAGGATCAAAGATTTACGGAGTAGGCTTCTTCAGTTTGTTATAACATTTTTCGTTTGGTCAGGACCAAGATGGATAAAAGTGGCAGAGAATTATGAACTTCTCTACGAAGTCTCAGTTTTTATGGTTGCTTGGGCCCTAGGTGGTAAGAAAATTTAAGTAGTCATCTCCTATAAATAGTTTGGTTTCTCTAGGATAATGGGAGCTTATACAGAAAAACGAAACCCATTTAAAATTGATTTAAATCTTTAAAACCCTGTTCGAAACCTTACTCTCTCAGAAAATTCAAGTTCACATCACTCGGCAAGTACCAAGGATAGTCAAACTGACCGAAACATCCGAGGTTTGCACTTCCTGGATAATTGAGCAACCAGGAACTCACAAGAAGTACGACTGAAGTTTCGCCTAAGAGTAGCCGCCTTGACCACAGTTCCTGATTACACAAACTTTTTATTTTCGGTACTCAAAAAGGTACTTTTTTGGAATAGGAATTTTTGGAGTTGTCGCAATAATTTTTAAACCTGACGGAGCTGAAACATCGAAAGATGACTCTTTAACTCTGTTTCAATTGTTTGATTGATTATAAACAGAACGATACGTACAATATTAGAAGACTGCTTTGTGTCTGTGGAATATTATCGAATCGGCGGATTTTTCATTTATATCTAATTCTCAGCCTATTTTTTTCTTCGTATTTTTTAATTTTTAATAATTAAAAAGTAAAAAAAAATAATAATTGTTAAGTGGAAAAAAGAGTCGAACGGTTAAACAACTGACGTTAAATTGGCTACATTGGATCTGCTGTGTGATTGTATGCAGTAAAACACTATAACACCAATAAAATTCTAACATGAAACAACGAGGAAATAAAGTTTAATGATAAAGGATGAGAATAATGAATTACTTTATTAAAAATATTAATATAACGATTATTATAGTCTAAAATATAATATACTCAAAAATATGCATTTATTTATGAACCTAAAATTCTATACAAAATAAAAATATCCTGCAATGAAAATTTGCCCGAGGAATACAGAATTGGTGACGTTTCCATTCAAAAAACCGTTAGAATTCCAGACGCAATTTTGTTGAGGATTTAATTTTAAATTAAATTATAATTAATATCATTAATAACATTTATAGTATTGAAAAAAATCTTTTTTCACAAGAATTATTACTTTTACAAGATGCGAATCATGCTGTGATCCAATAAATGTGAAATGGAATCATTTACATTAGTGGTAAATTGAAAAAAAAAATATCACTTACAGTTATATGGATTTATTTCTTTTGTTCCAACATTTTCTTTTCATTAACTGTAAATAATTTAGTGGCTTACGGATTTTCAAGAAATATCTATAATATTTTATTGTCAGAAAAATGGATGAAATTTCTTTTCACATGATGGTAAATTTCATTATCAATTTTAGATGCTCGGATAAAAAATATTACACATTTATCATTTACAATTAATATAAAAATTTACAGTAACACAATTTATGCATAATTCATTGCAGACTAAGGATTTAATAAAGAATTTAGTGTAAAAATATTTCATACGACTGCGCATCGGCCGTTTTTGATTGAATGTGAAAAATATTAATTACTCATCTATTTTGACGTTATAAACAACTTTAAATTGATTTTAAATAATTTTCATAGTATGCAAGACTTAAAAGTATTAAAAAACAAAGATTATGACTTAATTCTTTTCAAATCGTTTAAGATTAATAATAAACTTCAAAAAAGGCACTAGCTAAGATATTTTAAAAGAACAATATATTTCGTTAATACGGAAGTTATAAATAGCAATATATTATAAATATGTTATACTGAAAATGTTTGTTTCATTTTTATATTTTTCGTTTATAAAAAATAATCTATTTCTGTAAAAATATTCCATAAATCATTTTACAAATTTTCGAACTTTTTTCTAAAGGCTCATGAATTTCAAAAATTCTTATGGACTCTAAAAATAACTCTAATGATTTGAGTATGCTAATAAAAGTTTATGAAAATTGATACAAATTTGAAAACTTTTTTAACATTTTTCAGTTGATGAACTTTTTATAGCACTCCAAACTAAAAATCGAAACTATATCGCTTGTTTGAAGTTTTGTGCTATTAAATATTGTATGCAACTTTCGTGAATATGTTTTTTCAACAAATCTCGTATCAGCACTCACCTTTGACTCGTGCTGTTACCCCTTGTTTTGCAAAAAAGCATATATCCAATATAATAATATACTATTATAAAAACTACAAGGTGTTGTATTTTATCGACCAAAAATATTTGAAAAAAAATATCTAAAAATTATATTCCCAAACAATGAAATGTATTGATTTCATGAAATTAGTTAAGTGTCAGTTGTATGTGACTTATCATTTCATTATCAATTTTTTTTCTTCTATTTTATCTATTCTAAATTTTAAAAAATACTGCAACCGTTTTTTATGATTTAATAATAATTTATATAAAACTCAGGTGAAAATGGCAAATCAGGTCCTATTATAGATCTGATATAAAATCTGATAAAAGTACTGGTAAACGTACATCAGATCTTATATAAGATCTTAAATCAGAATTTACATACGATGATCGAAATTTGACTTACAACAGATCTGACATCAAATCTAATGTTAGATCGGAAGTGACTGTATCGCCTCTAATTAATTGAACAATAAATTTACTTATAATCATAGTTTAATAATAAATTTAGTTATATTTTAATAAGCATATTGATATTATCTTCACAATTAGAATTCCTCCAATATTTAGGTTTTCCATAAAGTGAATTTCAATTGATTCAATAACTTTTAATATTAAGATTTATTATTAAATTCTAATTATTTATAAATTTCTTGTGTATTTAATTAGGGACGATACTATAAGATCTGAAGTAAGTTCTAATGTCAATTATTGTATGTAAATTCTGATATAAGATTTTGTGTAAGATCTAATGTGCGTTCGACAGAACTTATATGAAATCGGATATCAGATCTGAGTTAAATCTAATATACTATTTTCACCTGGGAATAATATTTATGATGAATTGATACGGATTCCCACGATACATATAATTCAACAAGTAAACTTGAAAAGTAAAACAGTTTTAATTTTCGTTCCGCCCTTATATAATGCTCATTCTCATTGTATTGTACATGTAGTTTATGACCTATTATGTGATTATATATTGCATTAATTTTCTCCTTTTACACTCGTACATGCATAAGGTTCAACCGGTAGTGTGTATGACTAGAGACGACGATGATATGATAATGAGCCGTCTATGCTTCCAAATTGCGCAATTATTGATGTCAGAAGTCGGTTTAGAGGAGATGCTCTTGATCAACCGCCAAGGTGGGTTCGATTCTCGATTAACCCATTAACGCCCGGAGCACACGATTTTATCGTTCAATTTTGCGTTCTTACCATGTCTCATTCGACACAAGAAAAATTATGAAAACCACTATACTTTATACCTTTGAGAGCGTTATTTTTTAAAGTGGTATTTAAAATTGGGTAAATTAACAATTTATATTAAAAAACTGCCCATTTATACAAAAAAACGTTTTCTTGAGGTAAACTTTTTTTTCAATTCAATTTTTAAACAACTTATTATTTTTACAGGGGGGTAAAATATATGCACAAAGTGCCCTCTCGGTCTCTACTTTGAGAAACTACCGTTAGTTTTGTCAAACAATGAAGAAATTTTTTTCATATTTTTTGATGCTGCGTATCGCCCTAAAAAAATTATTTTGAGTAAAAAAGGGGGTTTTTCGGCTCTACATGCCAGTGTCCTCCATGAAAAAATCTGAAAAAATTAAGGTTATGTTTCTCAATGAGAAAAAAAAATGAAAAAATTTCCGAGTTCTACATTGCTGTATCTTGATTTTCAGAATTTTTAATGATTTTATCTGAAAGCCTGAAGCACTCAAAAAATCTGAAAAAATTCAAGGTTGTTTGGATTGTTGAAAATTACCTTCATAAATGTTTTCAGATTTTTTGAGTGATTCAGGCCTTCAGAATAAATATAAATCGAAAATAAACGTTTATAGAGGGGGTGGGGGGTAGGAGGGGTCAAGAGTTTGAAATTTCGGTTTTGGAGCCTTCTTACCATGTACTGTAACATACCAAAAGTACGTCATGATCGGTGATATACGTGCGCACGATTATTTCAAAAATTCTGAGCCTTATATAAACATTTAGAGACTTATTAAATATCGTAACAATTTTAGCTAAAACGATTGAATCAAATGATTTTAAATGTATGTTCGTAACCCCTAAGGTAATCGAGTGCCCAAATATTGCCTTCGGCTCGTGTTGTTACGAGTAACCTCTCGTTTTGAATAAAAAGCACTATAACCTTTTATCCCGCTGCACGCGCTCTCTTTTGTCTTATTCAACTAATAATAAGTCAATTAAAAGTTTCTTTACGTTTTGAATCAATTGAAAGTTACTTTATGTTTTTGTGTAAATTTAAGCTGTTGAAACATTAAAAAGGCAACTTATAATTACTATAAAAAATGTTTCATTTATTTAAAAGTAAAAGATAGTAAAATCGACCATGTACTTACAGTTCGCATAAGAAAGGTCAAACAACAATCTGGAGCCGGCAAACAGCTGAACTACCGATATTAAAATCAAATATAATCATACAATTGCCTTGTATAAAACGATGATTTATACAATCGGGCATTTATCAATTATAGCTTAACCCATTAACGCGCAAAAGTGCAATTTTGTGCATGAATTTTCCGTTGTAAAAAAATTATAGATAAAGTTAAAATATTTTCTTGAAAATCCATACCCAGGGGTTTTTGAGTATGCTCTTTCAGTATCCGGTGTTATTTTTACGATAAATAAACATTATCATCGTTTATTTTGCCATTAAAAACAAAAAACGTGATTTTTTGACTCAAAATTTTTTTTCAAAGTCGATTTTCTACCTTGCCTTGCCTTCGGAGGGTTCCCATAACACCAGAAATCGTGCACTTTTTCTCTGAACCTTCAAAAAATGCGCTGCCGCGATTTTTATCTAGCCTCTATAATTTCTAAAATGGCGAATTTATACCGAGCAGCGATATGAAAATTGCCTTATTTTTTATTTGTAAATTATTAACTTTATAAAAGAAAGTCATACAATGAAAAGTGTTCAAATTTGTTCAAAGAATACATGTGAATTTTTTTTAGAATTTTTTAATAATTTTTTCAAAATTTTTCAGATTTTTTTTGGAACATTTTGGATTTTTTCGACAGGCCGGGAAATGGTCGTATTTTGCAAAATTTTCAAAGTGGTCTGAAAAATTCTGAAAAAATTCACACGTATTCTCTAAACGATTTCAAATAAGTTTTTACACTCCAAATTGTACTTTTGAGTTCATATTTAGCGCATGTAAAATAGGTTCTGAGTGAAAAATGAGTGAATTTTTATACCGCTGCTCGGTATAAATTCGCCATTTTAGAAATATAGGGGCAAGATGAAAATCGCGGCAGCGCATTTTTAGAAGGTTCAGAGAAAAAGTGCACGATTTCTGGTGTTATGGGAACCCTCCGAAGGCAAGGCAAGGTAGAAAATCGACTTTGAAAAAAAATTTTGAGTCAAAAAATCACGTTTTTTGTTTTTAATGGCAAAATAAACGATGATAATGTTTATTTATCGCAAAAATAACACCGGATACTGAAAGAGCATACCAAAAAACCCCTGGGTATGGATTTTCAAGAAAATATTTTAAGTTTATCTATAATTTTTTTACAACGGAAAATTCATGCACAAAATTGCACTTTTGCGCGTTAATGGGTTAATAATTGATAATAAAAAGAGGAAAAATGTAGTTGTCGTAATTCGGGCTGGCCAAGTTCCAGGCATTCAACAAGAATATATACAAAAAGACTAGCTCGCACTATTTAATAATGTGGCTATCTAATATTGTAATGGCTAAAATTTTTGCCTCGTCTTGCGCTTGCCAGAGAAGTGTGTGGTCCAGTGCGAGTTTGCGTGTCCAAGCAGCAGTAATTAACGGCATCCGACGAGCTGGCACTCTTGTCTCCGTGTTTATGCTTCTTGCTCTTGTTCCATTTGTTCAACTCGCTGCCGAAAAAATTCCAAATGACCAACGTATCTCTGTGTTGAACCGCTACAAAATGAACGCGTTAGACTAGCCAAGAAGTTATTTTCAGCGATCCAGGCCCTATCACGCGGCACTTACCGAGCTTCGTGTGATCGGGACTCCAAACGATGTTGAGCATCCTGTGCTCAGGCTGAATGGGAACGGCATCCACGATGCGATTGAGGCCCGCCAGCACCGCGATTTTGGAGCGCAGCTTTTCGCCTTCGAGGTAGTACCAGTGAACCAGCAACTCACCACTGAGCTTATTGAAGAGCATCGAGTCTACCGAGCCGACGAAGTGGACCTTACGGTAGCCCAACTGGCGCTGACTGTTGACGTTCCAGAGCGAGAGCGAGGCGTCGCCAGGGCCACCGCCGATGCACAATATACCCGAGGACCAAGGGTGCCAGGCGAAGGCCCTCACACTGGCGAAGAAGGCGATCTCGAAGAGCTGCGTCAAAGACGGATAGTCGAAGACCTTCACCAGTTTGTCTGCGCAACTGAGCACGAGGAACTGCTCCTTCGGCGACAGCGACAGAGCCAATAGTTCCGTGTCGAAGTTTTTCTGAGTCAGCACACTTCCATTGGACGATCTCAGTATGAGCACGCAGCCGCTGTCGCAGCCACTGCAACAACGTCGTATGTTTTTTAGTTTAGCCGAGACACTCTGTAATGGCGGTTGCAAACCCTTTTAGTAGACTTACGTGATTATGTGCTTATCCTCTCTTGCCCAGAGGGCGCAGACAACACGACATTTGCAGCGGGTTTCTATGAGCACGGTGTTGATCCTGTAGCAAGGACACTTCCTGGACCACACGATGCATCGAAGGTCAGAGTCATATAGAGTCGTGAAACCATCCATCGTGCTCGTAGCCACTCGATTTCCTGCGTGTCACACTCATTTCAAATTTTCATCGTCCATAATTGCACAAACATACAAAATTATGCATATAAAAATAAAGAAAAAAAAACGTGTTTTATATTTACAACTATATTCATTCTTTTTCTTTTTATCAAGCCTCTAGTCGAAGAAGCACCTTTTATTTTTTAAAAGTCTTCAAACAATTCTGAGAGAATTCACTAGTTAACTAATTCGAAGACTGTTCAATTAGAAAAGATACAAACAATAAAAACGTTACATCACAAACATTTCACGAAAAATTGAAAGTAAAAAAATTAGTTAGTAACAATTGCAATTTTTTATCTCAATAGCAACGATCTCAATAAAAAAATTCACCTAAATTGTTTTTTTTAGAAATATTCAGAGAGAGTACAAAAGTGGGAATATTTTTAGAATTTTTTCAACATTTTTAGAACTTTAGTTCTTTGAATAAGTCATTTATGAGTTGTGGATAGTTAAGATTTTAGAATTTTGCCCATAGTGAACATTACATTATTTTGGCTATCATATTTTAGAAATTTTCTTGTAGCAGATAAATCATCATTTTTTCAGCTCCAAAATATTTAAATGATTTATTGGAGAGCTTTTTGAAATTCATAAAAGTACTCTTTTAAAATGTTTTTGACCTCTTAATTTTAAACTTTGAAATTAATATCGAAAGATGATAGAAGTTTATATGATTTCTCCGCATCCAAGTAAAACTAAGTCCAGAATGTGGCTCTACAATTATTTTTTTATGTTACACTGAGAAGCTTAAAAAGTAATAAAAAGTAGCACAGGTTGGAAATATAAGCAAAATTACAATGGTGCAACATAACTTTTACTATTTTACTATATTAAAAATTACCTTGTTGTATAAAAATTGTTATCATACTTTCAAGCTACGCAAAAATAAAATAAAACTATCCAACCCATTAAAACCCATAAAAAACCTTATAAAACAATCGACACTGACTTCACAAAGACAATAAAAAAGATTCAAGTACGTGAAAGTAAAACCGTTTTCAGGTGGACCCAATAGGGTACCACAAGTCAATATAGTTCCCATTACCGTAAGTTGATTAATAAATAAAATAAACAAATACTATCTTCCTATAATATTGATCCTTTCAACTCCCAATAAAGTCTTTAGAAAAACTCAATTTATGTATTAGTAATAATTGTAACGCGATGTAATTAATAACGTTTTAAGAAAAAAAATGTAAAATTTTCGAGTTGTCGCATAAAAATGCATAATTCGTTTTCATGTGATGTATCGTAATAGGTGTTTCAGCTTACCGGCTTCGTTCCATTTGACGGCGCAAAGATAAGAAGGATAATCGACTCTCTGGATTTTTGACATATTTTTGAAATCAACGTCGCAGATGCAGAGCGTGTCCGAGAGGCCCGCCGCAAGTATGTTCTTTGAGCTCCAGTCGATTATGTGCTTGTATCTTAACGCCATGGCGAAACGGAATATTACTAAAAGCGAGCGACAAATAGCGACGCAATAGAGCGAACGACGCACCGGCGAGAAGGAGAAAAGCAAGCGCAACAACAATATGCGTATTTATAGTAACGGTGCATAATATCGTATACGAGGCTCGATCTGCTGACGCGACAGAGCTTCGATCGGTATGTGGCAAAATAATTACAATTATCGGTATAGCTCGGCGACTATCGCTACTTACAAGCTCCATGATCCCGGTAACGTTTGGACGTCTCTCCCTTGATGCTCATGAGGGGATACTTGCGGGGCCTCGCGTCCCACTGGCACTCGTCGTCGTTGTCGTTGCAACCGAGGCCGCCGCAACAGACAGAGCCGGAGCCGCAGCCGTCGTCCTCAGCAGACGGCGATGCCTCGCCGATGTTGAGGATGCGCTTGCAATTCATCCCGTCGAATATGTTGAGCGAGTGGAAAGCCGTGTCCATGTACTTTCTGCGCCAGCGCTCGGTGGCGTTTTTCACCTGCATAAAAATCGGCGGCCTAAAAATCATCATCCAAACAATCGAGATCGAGTACGTACCTCCTGAAACACGTCGAGGTAGAGGCCGTCGGAGTTGTGATCGTCCTCGTGCGTGTGACGATAGTGCGACACGTCGAAGCTCACGCCCCGTCTGCGAGGGATGAAACGATCGGCGCCTCCGCAGCGTTCGATGAGCGAAGGCCACTGCACACGCAGCGATGCTTGCAGTTCCGACAGTTCCTGTTGTGGCTGTTGCTGCTGCTGTTGCTGCTGCTGTTGCTGCTGCTGTTGCTGTGGCTGCTCGAGTACCAAGCCATCACCCGTTGTAATTAACCCCTCGGCGGTCAAGCTCTGCAAAAGAAAAAAGTTTTAAATAATCGCACTGTTCTGAATTGTACGTTAAACTTGGTTCGAGCTGTTGGTAGGTTTCACGGAAGCCCACCTCGAGGCAGGGGCTGCATTTTTCAAAAAAGCTCACTAAAACGCACATACGGAGCTATTTCAGACATGTCACAATGCATCTGCGATACAAGGAGCATGGACGTGCTCGAGAAAAGATGAAAATGGGCGTTGTGTGCACTCGAGTCACACGGGCCAGGCAGTAGCGCAGGAAAAACCAGTTGTGCATCTGCTGCAGAAATTTCACAGCTCAACTGCGAGCGCACCTACTTACGTGCATTACATAATGGGGCCGCATTTTTTCCGACGAGCAGCTCGCCCGGTGCGACCGATTGTTTGCCTGCAGTGCAGATCCGTTGCTGCGGCTGCACCTGAGAAAGTGCCCTGTAACGGATTAGCAAACTGCACTTGGGCGTTCGCGCACTAGAGACGATGCTCGGGGGTCGAGAAGGAAAAATTTGGAAAAGAACCCGTGACGCGTTCACGCATAGACGCGTGCGGCGACTGGTCGAGTCGGACTATAACAATATATGTAAATCGAGTTCCTGTTTCGGGCAGCGACACTTTGTTCGCAATTTTGATTTGTCTCCTTGAAAGCGTTTGCGCCAATGCAGCCCATCTTCGAGACTATGATATTCATACGTTAATTCTTGGGCTTTTTACTCAATAGAATGCAAAGATAAAAATGCAGCTCCAAGTCCGTTATCGGCTTGCGCTTTGCTCAACGCTTCGCAGCTGCTCGACTTTTTACACACACTAGACTCGAGAGCTGCAATTCGAAACTCGAGCTCTCATTTGCATATTAAGCTATTTACATGCATAAGCTATTCGCATTCGACAGTGTATTTTATATACCTGTTTATTCGGCATCGATAGGTACTTATTCATTTTTTGCATTAAGAATTTGAGCTTGGTTTCAATTTTAAGCGGAAAGAACAAACCTATTCGCCTAAATTGGAGTTGGTCTTTCAAATTTTTGGCAATCAATTTTTTGCTTCTTGCATGCAATTGGCAATCAAAAATTTAAGAACTTTTACACAATCGAAAATATATTGGTTCTCTTCTCAACGAGACCCTTGCACTGTTATATAATGCGCCAATATCGCACGTCAACTTGTCTCTGCAGCAAAGTCATCGATTGCCACACGTCGAAGCTACTTCGCGTAGTGACGCGCGTAGTGCCGCGATACGCCGTGCGGACTCGACGACTAGACCATGCGCTAAAAGTCTTATATTTGTATTATAAACGCTGCAAAGGGGTTACGATGTTCTCGACCTATACCTTTGTGTTGGTGCTGCTGCAGGGGTGCTTCGAGGGGGTCGAGCTGATTTTTAACTATGCGCCGCAGCTCTCTCAGAGACCCGAATAACGAGATACCGTACTTTTAGTATGGCGCATAATTCTAGCGAGGGCAACTAAGGGAGCTATTCGCCTCGCTTTTCTCTTTTCGCTCTCTTTCTCTCTTACTCTCGCGCCCTTTTGTATACTTGAGCTTTTTAACATTAATATCAGAGAACGAGCAAAAAAGTAGATTCGTTACTACCTACTATTTGTTACGTGCAATTTCAATGCCCTGCAAGCTATTAATTGATAAATATTTTAGATTAGTGATTATTATACTTGAACATTTATAGTATTTATCTCAATAGTCATAAAGTCAGAAAGAGTCAAAAAGAGCTACAAATTTCGGCTTCGAGCCTGACGCGGCAATTCAAAATCGCTCGATAAAATATTTCATGAATACATTATATATTTCACAAATAAGTTTCATCGCGCTACGTTGCCATTGGAAAAATACTTGCACAAGATCTTTCATCGTTTTGTTTTTCTTCTCGCCACTTTAATCTCTTCTTTTTTCGGCCTTCTAGCACGCGAACTGCGCCAGACTATATAGCTCTACTGCGCGCATTCGAATTCGCAAACTTACTTACACATAAACACGCTCATACGTAGCATACACCTTCAACATATATAAATACCTACAAGCAGTACAAAGAGAGAAAGAGAGAGAGGAGAGAGAGAGAGAGCAGTATCTAGATTCCGGCGTTCTTAGTATGCATGTTGAACCAGGAAAGGCTTTTATCCTGTAAGCACGAGAGAGGGAGGGTAAAGAAAGAGGGAGGGACGGTAAGAAGGGGAGTCCGATTAGTGATTAGAAAAAAAAACCTGCCACAGCGCAGCACAAAGGCATTGAACAGAGTACGCGAATTTGTTTGTGTCATACATTTAAATCGGCACGCAGCACGCAAGATCGACGTTGTTTTTTGTTTTAATTTTTTTTCACCGTTCACTTGGATTTCGCGCGCATTGTGTGTGTGTGACGTGTGTTCGGAATATTTGGCACGGGCACGTTCGCTCACAATGCGCCCAGCCGAATCACGGCACAAATTTGCGCTCTCTTCAAATTCGACGCGGCGCAAATATATCGAATATTGGCTGTTTTTTCGACTAATGACTTGGATAATGTTACGGAAGTTCGAACCGTGATTTAAATGCTACTCGTCGCAGACGTGCACGTGCGCGATGATTCACTTGGATCGGAGACCAATGATATTGGCCAGTTTTCTTAAAAATTTTTGTGAGAGTCAAGCTTGGCATTAGCCATACTAAATGCTTTGAATTTATTTTACAGTACTTGAACGCTGAAGATTGTTCATAAAATAATGAATCAAAACGTAGCAAAAACAACGATAAAATCAATTAAATTGAAAAAAAAACATTGATTCATTGCTTAAAAAGAAGATTTTGAAGCTCCTCGGATGAAAAAAGTTTTTCGTTAAAAATGTAAAAAAGAAAATGTTATATTTCTACATCGGTTCGGTCGATAATTGCAAATAAGGCAGAAATAAGGCGAGTATATTAGCTGCGTGTTTAGATGCGCTTGAACGTGGATCGTACGCGAAAATACGAAGAGCGCGATAAACGTATTAGAGCAGCGGTGTCGTACATACGCTATATACGTATGTGTATGTAAGTCGCAAGGCACATCGAAAGCTGTTAATAAAAATGCAGGCGGAGGCCGCTGCCGCTCGTGCTATGAAAAAAGCGGCCAAACTGCAACGATCAAAAGAAGCGTATACAAGGCGTACGTATAGGTATAGATCGCGCGCGCGCGTGTGTGTGGCTCTCTCTCTCTCTCTCTCTCGAGCTAGCTCGCTCGCGCTAAAGAGCAAAAGGAAAAATATCATCTCGTTGGAGCAAGAGCGATCCAAAGAGTTAGATATAAAGCCGGAGGGAAGGAGCCCGGGATAAAAAGAAGAAGAGGAGAGAAAATTGCAAATACAAGCGGCCGGACCAGTCATCCCGAACTGGTGTGCTCTGCGAGACTCTTCTTCTCGTCTGCTGCTGCCGTTTCTTCTTCCAGCTATATAGCATTTATACACGAGTATATATACGAGGCAGGTATATATGTATATAAAGCAAGTTGCAGCAGCAGCAGCTCTCCTTCGTTCAAGGATCGCATCTTTCTGGCTGCGCGCGAGGAGAGCCTCTGCGATGCCATGCAGCTATATATGCGGCAGCTCTCCTCGCGGTGGCGAGCTGGCTCCGGCGTCACGCGTGCGTGTCGCTGCACTCGACGCTCCGGCCTAGCGTGAGTTGCCTCGCGCACGCCTCTTTGTGTGTGTGTGTGTGTGCGCTTATAGCTGCAACACTCACACACGTACACGAGCTGCAGCCAGCCGCGCTGACGGCCGAAGGAGAGCCGAGCGCGAGATAAAATTATATATAGGAGCTGCCCTCGTGCTCGCTCGGATTCCGCATACGTCCTTCCTCGTGCATCGTCCAGCTCTCGTATATACAGGTATATATAGTAGCTTCGCGGTATATGCTACGGTAGATCCAGCGCGGCTGGCTCGGCTTCGCCAGTTAAGCCTTTGTGTGTGCGTGCGCGTGTGTATGTGTGTGTGTGCTGCTCGGCTGGAGTCTGGATCGCTGCGGTATGGAACGCGTCTGGACCGCCACCGCCGCTGGCCGGTCCCCGCCACTCGGACGGACCCCTTTACCCATCTCTCTTTCTGCAGTCTCGCTCCACGCTCTTTATAGAAGCCTTTGCTCTCTGCTCGCTTTAGTCTCCGCTTGATCGGCTGCGAGCACGAGTGCAGCGGGACGAGCTGCTAATAAAAATACCCGTCGACTTTTCGCGATTGACCGGCGTATTTCGTAAATGATCTTTGCTCGACTCCGTCCTCGAGCTCGTGCCCATCGTCCGCCTGTCTCGTTTCGTTCGCGCTCGAACTTTGCCGTGGTGTCGGCCGAGGATGCGTACGAATCGAGTGACGCCTTTGATCTGCGCGTACTTGCGTTAAAGAGTAGCCAACGATTGTCAAATTGTGCGCTCGAACTTCCGTGTTGGATTTGTGCGTGTGTGAGCGGGGAAATTCGAGCTTGTTCCCGTCGCGATGGCTCGCCAGCCACATTGACAGTGCCTTGAATCGATCGCGTATTCATCTCATCGGTTCATTCTGCTTAGTGCGTGTTGTGGTGATGATGCTAATGATTATGGTAATGGTGATTATGATAATGGCATTATGTGTTTAGAAATTGTCAAAGTTCAAGAATCAATGACGATCGTTCGAAAGGGTGCGCGCAGCTCTTGGTTACGAGCGCGACTCGATCGCGACTCGAGTGACATTGGCCTGCTCTCGAGCCGCTCGAGCTCGCTACCGTCGCCAGCGATCAGCCAAGGTATGCCTTTTTCCATGTCTAGTTCATTCGCGATCGTTTCGACCAACTCTCGATAGTTGACCTTTTGTAGTCGAAAACGTGTGTCGCACCATAGAACGCCGAACGACTAATTTCTTGAGGGTATAACTCATAATATTCGATCGATTCCTATACACTGCGGTGCGCTGGACACTCGCACAAAGTGCGATAATTGTCACTCTCTGCAGTGGTCGCGATGATCTGACGTTTAGCGTCCACGTGTACGGTCTCGGCTGCGGTTTACATA